TACATTAGGGTATGCCACGGGGAATCCAGCAGCATATACAGTAAAGTAAATCATAAAGTAGGCATTTGGGTGTGCAACAGGATGTGTATTAAGGAATGCATTAGGATATACCACAGGGAATGCTTTAGCATATACTATAGGGTATGCACTAGGGTATACCATAGGGTATGCCATAGGGAATGCATTATGGTATGTAACAGGATGTGCATTAGTATGTACCATAACAAACAGCATGGGAAGTGCATTAGGGTATGCAATAGGGTCTGCATTAGGATATACCACAGGAAACACCATGGGAAGTTCATTAGGGTATGTAATAGGGTGTGCATTAGGATATACCATAGGAAACACCATGGGAAGTTCATTAGGGTATGTAGTAGGGTCTGCATTAGGATATACCATAGGAAACACCATGGGAAGTGCATTAGGGTATGTAATAGGGTGTGCATTAGGATGTACCATAGGAAACACCATGGGAAGGGCATTAGGGTATGTAGCAGGGTGTATATTAGCACGTACCACAGGATATGCCATGGGAAGTTCATTAGGGTAAGTAATAGGTTGTGTTTAGGATGCACCATAGGATATGCCAGGGGAAGTGCATTAGGGTGTACCACAAGATATTCACCAGGGAATGCCACAGGGCATCCAACAGGATATGCACTATGGTACACCACTGAGTATGCATTAGGGTATAAATTTTGGGATGCATTAGGGTATGCCACAGAGTATCCTATGACGTATCAAATGCAGAGTGCCTTAGGGTATGCATTAGGGTGTGAAACGGGATATACATTAGGATGTGCCACAGGGTATCCAACAGGGCACGCAGCAGGGTAAGCCACAGGGCATCCTGCAGAACCAGCCCTTCTCCTCTGGCACCAAGGCAGCTCCATGTGCAGGGATGGAACTCCTCTGGCAGCAGGCCAGCGGGCTCTGCTGCTCTGTGTCGAGATGTTCATTTTGTGATTTTGGTGGGGTTTTTTTCATTATTATTAAAAGAAGGTATCAGCCTTCTGTTTGATGTGCTGTTGGCCGTGGTTGCCAAGGGGAGCAGTGTACAATTACAGCCCCAGTGATGCTCACTCTAATAATACACTTGGCTCTGCATAGCTCAGATGCAGACACAGCTCTGCTATAAAGAGCACGGTTGTTCCAGCAGAGGAGTACTCCAACTTATGTTACATGTGAAGGGTTTGTGGCACATTGCTTAACACCCCCCTACTGGAAAGAAAGGAAAAAAAAAAAAAGCCTGGGCATGCCAGTGAGTGAAACTATGACAAGCAAAAGCCTCTCAAAGGAGAAATACTTTCAATGTATTAATTAAGAAGGTATTTCTAGAGGCATGAATAGCTTGTGTATGTGTCCACTAAGATGTTCTTTCATGTCCCCAGACATCCAAGCTCACCCAGGTCCATCCCAAGGGCTCACATAGCTCAAAACTGCTTTTGCTGCCAAAAGACTAAACCCAATTCAATGAGGAGAAAATCAAAAACCCAAATCACAGAACCACAGATTTGTTTAGGTTGGAAAAGCCTTCTAAGACCATCAAGTCCACCCACTCCTCAGCAGTGCCCAGGCCACCAATGACCCATGTCCCCAGGTGCCACACCCACAGAGCTTTTAAATCCCTGCAGAATGGTTAACCATCACTGAGCAGCCTGTGCCAGGGCTGGACAACTCAGATGCCAAATGATCCCCCCAGTGCCAAGCTCACACATGGCAGCTCTACCACCTGTCCACCCCATGGTTCCGCTTTCCACATCTCTTTTCCTGAGAAGTTGGCAGCACCCAAACTCAAGACTTAGCCAAGATTCTGGACCAAAACATGGAGTGAAGGATAAATTCAAACCAGGGTTTTCCTGATGGATCCCCTTAGGGGATGAAGTGAACCATGCTGGCTATAGGGAAGCTCTTCAGAGGAGCTGCTGGCAGGGAGGGGGATGATGTGACAACACTCCCATGCTGCAGCACTGACATCTCTTTTGGGATCAAAACAAGTACCCTGAGATAAGCTGTGAACATGTGCAACCCTTGAGCATGAGCACCTTATCAACACCTGAAAACAGAGGCGGAACCATGTTAAAAAGACAGTTTACTGCCTGTTTTGTAGGCGAAAAAAAACACCTTGTTTTAAGGTCCAGCAGGGTACAGGGACAGTGTCTACAGGTCCTACAGGGATGCTGTCTGTAGGTATGCCCATGCTGGCAGGGCACCTCAACGGGTTCATGCACCAACTCCTGAGCTCCTCCGGTGGGGATGAGCTGTTGCCATCGCAGTCCTGAGGGAAAGGGACAAACAAGGCCCTAGAAAACAGGAGCATCTGCTGGGAGCAGATGGGGGGGCGAGCGGTGCAGCCCCGGCGCCAGCAGCACGGGCAGGGATCACACTGATCCCGATTTATCACACCCCGGCACAGTAATTCCCCAGCTCGCCGGTGCCCAGCAAGCCGAGCTCCTTACGCCCGGGGATCAGATTAGTCTGAAAGGTGCTAGAGAGACACAAATCCTGCTCTGCAGCAAGCGTTTTAATAAAGGTTTATTTCTCTTTTTTAATTAATGGTGAGTTATCTAAAAATGGCTGATGGAAAGTGTCTGATGGTGGAAGGGCCAGGACTGTAGCTGGGTAATGTCCTATCATCAGTCATACAAAAATGAGATTGTAACATATGGATACATATGGATATATATAGATCTCTGTGTGTGTATATATATATATGTATACATATGGATATATAATAACTGATATCAATGTATTAATATATCATACACTAATGGGATAGTCACATTACTCTGTAACATGACATAATATCCAATATGCCTTATCAATACTGATAATACATCATATCAGTTCCAACATACCATATTGATATTGATAATCAACCTCCTTATTTCACACCAAGGTAGCTGCAATGACTCTTTTGTGTCTCATACCTGGCTCTGTCTCCAGCCAAGGCTATCAGACCTGAATACCTCAAAATATTCCTGGTTTAGGGCTTGACCCAAGTATTTATGAATCAGTTTGAGTGCATCTGATTGTTTCATTTGGAAAATGAAACAGTGCTTGGAGAAAGTCAAAATCCTTTACTATCAGAAAGGAAATGTTAAATTATTCAATTTCACACAGCAGTTTGCTTTTGACCTGTAGTGATCTGTCACCTTTTGCCCATGAAGACATTTATAAAAGATGTGCAGTTTGGGGCTGAACAAATCCCTTTTGCATATTTCTCTGTGCCTTGGCACATGAACTCGGTCACCCGCACGCCCTGCTCCCTCTTTGCACTTCAGCTCTCCACAAGGCTCCCATCACACTGGGACTGGCAGCACGTTCCTGAGAAGCACTTTGAGTCTCTCTGGAGATAGGAGATATATTATTTATCCTGCATTCATGCTGTGAAGAGCTGAATGGGAAGCCACTCAGTCTTGCACAGGATGCTACAGTATAAATCAGTTTACTGGGTCTGTTTGCATGGGTGGAATTGCTGGGGCAAGGGAATAAAGCAAGCTGGAAGAGTCCTCCCTAACCCAGGACTGCCATCAGCATCAATTGTGGGCTAACACTTTGCTGCTTTCAGGCCATCATTCCTGGGCTTTATAATGGATTTCTTAGATTGCTCAGTCTAACAGGGAAAGATGCAAGAGTGACCTGGTATGGGAAGAAAGGGATGCAGAGCAGGCTTAGAGCTCCCTCCAGCCCCTTGCTGCTAATTCTGGGACTGATTCTGTCTGCAATTTCCCTCATTCTGATGGATATTCCCTTTGGAAATACTAATCTGGAAAAAATGACCAGCTGGTAGAGGTAATGGGTGGATGTGTATGCTGGCCAAGGGCTTTGCAGGGGGGAGGCTTGTTGTGTTTGATGTGCACACAGAGCAAAGACAGAAGCAGAGCTGGACCAGTCACTGTGCAGAATTTTCTGATATTGATTTTCACTCTTTTATTTTACTCCTTATTTCCCTGCTTGCTGTGCTGTCCCAATGCCAGCCACAGAATCCAAGAGAGCATCTCCAACAAGAGCAGCAAGAAGAACGAGAAGATGAGTCAAAAACTGGAGTGGTGCTGAGCAACAGACTTGTATGGAGAGCAGAGAAATGAAAAGTGAGCTCTGCATGCCCCACAGATGGTGCATGAGGGAACAGCCACACGGAAATGCACTTTAAATTGAGGAAGGAAATCCATGGTTTCAGCTCTGTCTCCAGAGGCAGAAAATTGGATGTGCATGTGACATCCTCCCAGAAAACAACTGCCCAATCTAATGGTGGCCCTGCAGTAAAACACACTCCTCCAGACCATGCACATTTGAGGATAGCCCTTTTTTCTATCACCCAACATTATTATAGAATTATCCAGGCTGGAAAAGACCACCAAGTCCAACCACTAACCTCAAGGACCAGTGATGGGAGCTACTGCTTTTTCCTCCCCTCTGCAACTTTGCTGTCACTGATGCTTTTGGAGCAGAACAACCAACCAGTTCTCCACATATCAATAAACGAGTCACCCAGAATAATGAGAAAATATGTAATTATTTCAGTTTTGTTTGTAATCAGAAACCAGAATCAAGCCAGGTAGTGTGCAGCCCAAAGCCTGCTCATGTACCAGCCTGGTGTCTAGGACCATCAGAGATTTGTCTTGGTGCTGCTGGTGCTGAGTTGGACCCTCCACTCTAACAGCCTACACTGACAGACCCTCCCAGTTAATTTCTTGTCATGCTGTGGGGATGATGCCTCAAGCAGCTGACTCATTACCCAGACAGGCCCTGGTGTGAGATGCCACAGTTCTTTCAGAGTTCAAGAAATGAGAATGAAGAGCACCTTGATAATGCCCTCAGTGTCACATTACCTATGGTAACCATTGAAGATGTGCACTGACAAAACAACTGGTGCAATTTGAACTCATCAATTGGGTTCAAAAGGAATTTGGTAACAGGTCATCTCCAAATAACTGGTAAGACCAATTGAGATGATGCTCCAGGCACCTGAACAGCTAACTTTATCTCGTTACCTGCAGCATGTTGAGGAGCAGACTCCGGAATTTGGTTCCCTCCACCATGAAAAGGGCCATTTTGTCACAGAGCTTGGCTGCTGTGGAAGCAAAGCTGCGGTCTGTCACCGCTTTCTGGTAGATGGTCTTGACTATCTCCCCCAGCATCTCCTCAGAGTTGGTGGAGTTCTGGGCCTCCTCCATGAAGGTGGTGAGCTTGGAGTCAACGTCACTGCTGTTGTTCCGCATGCTGTTGAGAATTTCAATTAATTTGTCCATTTTATTCTTTTCAGGGTCGGTGGTTTCCACCGTTACTTCGTCCTGGTCCGTGAAAAGGGAAAGACAAGGCGTCTGTTACACAAGGAAAAAACAGATATATCAGCCCATGTCCTTGCACAAAGAGCAAAGGGGTAAGGGGATTGGGAAGACATAAAGAGAAAGAGAAAAGACAAAGCAATTTTTAGTAGCACAGTGGTATAACATCAGCATTGGAAAGCATAAGCGCATGCATCCTGCCCCAGAAATGTGCCCTTTCTCCATTTCCCACATCACTCAATCCCAAAGTCCCACCCCTCAGCTCAAGAAGAACATGTCCTTGAGGGTCCTGAGCCAGGATGCCAAAGTCTGATCACCTCTGACTGCCTTTGGCATCTTGGACCAGTTTGGTGTCTGTGACGTCATCATAATGGACATTTTTTTGTTTCTCTTTATAAAATGCAATGATGTTTGCAAAATCTTCAGACAACAATCCCATAACAATATATTTCATATACATATTTAATATAAAATATATACATACAAACAGATATATCTAAATAAAAATATATTTTAATATATACACTTCATTATGTAAATTGAGCTCAAAGAAGTCACATGATCCCAGCATTGAAAAGATTCTTGACTTTTCCATCTCTTGCCTGTTACACTTTTCACTTCCCATCATTACCACAGAAATTATTGATTCTTTTCAACAATTTATTATGCGTTTGCTCCTTTTCCCCCAGTGTTAGGCATGCATCCTGCTTGCTCCGGTCTTCTCTTCTAGCCCTCCAGCTCAGTCTTATATAATATAAACCTGTAGCAAATCCAATCCCAAAGGGAGTTGACCAAACCTCCCATCAGGAGACTGGTTATGTTGACAACACCCACCCAAGAGTAGGTGCTGATGAGATTTTTAGTCTTACAAGACTCTAAATTTTTGAGAAGAGCACTAAAATGAATACTCTGAAAGTCTCTACTACACTTCGATTGCTTTAAAGTACATAAAAAATAACTAACAAAATCTCTTACTCCCCCTCATGCCATATCCAGAAATAGTAAATGCTCATGCATTCAAAGGTATACATTTCCAGCATGCACTCCCATGGAATTTTATATGTTCAGGTTATTTTTGCTCTGTATTTTGGAAATCTCATTAGAGATAACCCCATGGATGCTTTTTACAGTCTGACAAAAGAATCTCAAGAGAAAGAATTTTAGTTTTACAGGGGGCAAATGAGATATCATCTCCAAATTCCTCAGAAATCTGTGGCTGAATATTGTTTCCAAAAAGGATTTCTCCTCCGTCACTTGCATGCAATACTTTTGTTATTGTTGGGTTGCTGGAAGGAAGGGGGAGATAAGGGCATTTCAATTCTTTGCAGAGATAAATGGATATCAGCTTTAAAGCAGCGGTGTCCAACTATTCAGCACTCAAGAGGCAAAGTTTGGGATTTAGCACTGTAGTTGCAGAGACAAATTGCCTTTTTCACATGTTTTCTGGAAAGTGATTGAGCTCTTCAGACCAAGAGGGAGCTCATGTGTGCACCAGCCTTCCCCCATGGAAAATGGGAAAGATTCCAGTCCAACTGAAGCTGGTAGCAACCTCACCCAAGAAGTCAAGCTCAGAGCCTCAATTCTTTCACTAAAAGGCCTCCTGAAGAAGCACAAAGACACCTCAAGAGAAGTGCTGACACTGGGGGATTATGGTAAATTGGGAGCATTGATGGAAAGGTCCCTTGAGCTCACCCCATCCTTTGTACGGAGGATAGCCTGAGAAAAAGAGCAACCCAAGAAATAATACCTTTTCTTTTAGCCTCCTCCTCAGCCTGTCCTTCGAAGACTGGAGCAGGTTGATCTTGGGCCTGTCCCCGGGGCGCTCGTGGGCGCTGTCTTTCCGCTTGGTCTCGGGCTCGGCCTGCTGCTGGGGCTGCTTCTCGGCGGCCTCAGGGCCTCGCGGCGCCTCCGTGGGGACGTGCGCCGTGCACGCGGGGCTCTCCTCGATTCTCAGGTTCTCAGTCTCTTTGGCGTTTCTGTGCGTCTCCTTGTCGTTGGGCGAGTGCTTCTGGTTGTGGTGCCATCTCCGGTTCTGGCTGTAGCCGTGGTGGCCCGTCCTGCCCGAGGAGTGAGGGGCCTGGCCTCCTTGGTAGAGCTTCTGGTGGTCCCTGTTATGCTTGGTGCCACCCTGCTGATGATCCGTGTGCTGCTGGGACTTGTTCCCGCTGGGAAGCCTCTGCTGTCGCCTGGAAAGTCAAAGGATGTCATTGAGAAGTCGGCTGACCACCGAAATTAATACTAACACTAATACTAACACTAACACTAACACTAATACTTCTTCTTCTTCTTCTTCTTCTTCTTCTTCTTCTTCTTCTTCTTCTTAAATTATTAAATCATTATTATATAATATAATAATAATTTTTATTATTGCTTTATTGTATTTTTGTTATATATTATTATTTTATTATATACTTTTATTATATATTATTTTATTATGTTTATTGTATGTATATTATTTTATTTATTATATATTATTTTAATAATAATATTAAAACACACATTATAATACAATAATAATAATAATATTATTATTATTATAACACATAATTAAATCATATATAATAAAATAGTAATATATAATAAAAATACAATAAAACAATATATAATAAAATATATATAATAAAATAATATATAATAAAAAATTTTAACTCCTGTTACCTCGAAATCAAATAGGTTTTTTAGTTTGGTTGTTTAGTTTGGTTTCTATTTTGCAAACTGAATGACAGTGTATTTAAAAAAAATGTAGAAGAAAGTCAAAGGAAGTTCACTCATTCCTTCATGCTTCTGTTGGGCCAACACATCTGTTCCACCATGCAGCTTGGCCCTTGGAAGGGGACCACAAATGGGGAAGCAGTTTCTTGTCATCTAACAACTCATGCCCCTGAATTTCTTTTAGTGACAGCCATATTTCAGGTGAAAGTTTTTGTGAAATTGGACAACAAGACTTTGGTTCACAGGAAAAATTCTCTCAGGTTTTTGTGCTAAATTCTCTCAGGTTTCTGTGTTACTTCCACACTAACCAGGAAAAACAGCAGCAGCAAGTCAGGTAGGCAGGAAATGCCAGGAGATATTTTTTTCTGAAGGCTTTAGAGCTCCTGATACACCTGGCCTACAGCATCACTTTCTCCTCTTGCCTGCCAACATGGCACACTCCTGCATGGGCTTGCAGTGAACTAGTTCAAGTGTATCAGGGATTTATAAGCAGAAAAAAATAACTAAGAAGCAAGATATTAAGTAAACTGGTAATCTTCCCACACCAAATGGTTTTGTTTGGCCTTATTTTATACATCTCCTTCAGGACTGCTACACCAGGACAGGACACACACATGGATGAAAAGAGGAACAAACTTGGCTTTGGCAGCATGGAGAGCATGGCATCCAGGACCACAACCTCCAGAGAGAGACCTATGTGTACAGAGCTCCTGATGGATAACATGGAAACCCAACAGCCACAGAGAGGAGGAACTGCCCCCAAAGGGTTTACTCGAGAGACTACAACATCTCAGAAAGAATGAGCAAGCCCCTGAGTGCTGGCTGTAACCGGTAGCCGAGATGGCAAATCCCCAACAAAACAACAGTTGAATGGAAGAAATGCTTTGGCAGTCTCAGGCATCTCAGATTTCCAAACAGGCTGCAGCGTGGCTTTCCCCAGTGGAGAAGGCAGAGCCAGAATGCAATCATCCAGGATGCACCTAAGATGGAGAAGGTCCTGGCACTGGCTGCCTTCCCCAGGGGTCCTAAGCATGGCCACCCTAAGCATGGCTACCCTAAGCATGCTGGCATCCCCTGCCTGATGCCTCGTTGATATTGGTCATGGTTCTGAGAGCCCATGGCGTGTTTTAATGCCTGGGCTTTACAAGGCTGCTGGGAACAGTGCTAGAGGGTGACACAGGACATCTCCCCAGTATCACCCCCAAAAACAAGGAAACAACTTTAAACACTGTGGTGACCACAGTGGTTTGTCTCTGTAGTGGTTCTGTAGCCATGATAAAACCCCTGGTCAGCCTCACTCCTTATCCCAAACCCCCACCCCAATCTGGATAAATAGCAGTGTTTACTTTAAACCCATCCCACAGCAATTAGTTTTATTTTCATCACTGGCACTGCTCAGCTAAGGGAGCTCGGATGAAGGCAGCAACCATTCACAAATACATTTCAATGGTCAGCAGTCTCCAACCCTGCCTGCCAAAGCCATCTGCCCACGGAATCTGTATTCCTTGGCATCCCCAGGAATCAAAACCTATTTTCTGAGGCCAAATGGCTTTTAACCACAAAGAGTGAGGGCTCATGTTTAACAAATGCAGGACGAACAGGCTTGTTCATGGCACTGGAAAGAATTAGTGTTTACTCTCAGACCACCAGATCCGGTTTTCTGAGATATTCAGTCTGTAGTTTTTGGTTTTTTTTTTTTTTCCTTTTTCTTTTTTTCCCTTGCAAACTGAATGGCAGGGAATTAAAAAAAAAAAAAAAAAGGAAAAAAAAAAACCCAAAACGGAGATGCGAAAAGCTTTCCTGTTTGCTGGAGCCTACAAGCATTTTATGAGTACAGATTCTCCACATCAAGTTTTCCTGGCATTTCTTTGTTTCCTCTCAGTAATGCAATCGCATAAACCGCTTTGTAAAGAGCAATGCTTATTAAAAGGGGAATGTCAAAATAAAAGTTAGTTAAAAAACTTATCTGGTACTAAGGCCTCACAGGCCCAAGTATACAAGAGCTTTGCTTTCTGTGGTTTTGCTCTTCTCTCAGACATCTGAGTTTAACTGTTTGGTTGCATTTCAAGTCTTGGCTCATAAGCCAGTCAGCTTGCTACTTTATTTAATTTGTAAATATTGCACAGAAATTACAGAAGTTGCACAAAGACATGGCTATAATTTCAGAAGCAAGAGAAAATGCCTGGAAATGAGCTGGGAACCAAACTTGGCCATAAACTCCTGCAAGACACGCACACAGGGACAGTTTTTTTTCTAAAGACATATTATAAACCTAACCCTTAATGTTTAAGGGCTATGAATGAAAAAAGGTTTAAGATTAAAAAAAAAAACAAACTAGTTAAGCCAATGTGGAATGTGCAAGATTGTTCATTTTGTGGCTGTTGCAATAGGATGGGGGAGAGCAGAGAGCCCTGCCCCTCCAGGGGACAGCTAAAAGGTGATGTCCCCATGGCATGGGCAGAGCAAACACAGACCAAAGCTCTGCAGTCACTGGCCAAAGGGTGAAAACATCAGAGTTTAAAGTTTTGGGAGAAAAATTGCAAAGAAATAAAAGGCAAAGGAAGGAGAATGGCAAACAAGGAGCAATGTCTGTGACTTGGCAGCAGTCAGGGGTCTAGACAATCATCCAGCTTTCAGGCAAAGACTCGCTGTGTGCTTTTATCTTCCCAACACCCCAGCGAAGAAGAAAAGCCAAGAAGAAATAGGATCTGCAGGAAAGAAGAGCCAAAGCAGGGAGAACAGGGCTCACATCTTAAAACTTGACTGCACAGCACCTCAAAGCCTGGGAGGTGCTTGCTCTCAGGTGTCACCAAAGTGCTGGGGACACAGAGAGCCCCAGGAAAGGACAAAACGGGGACCTGGTGTCCAGCCACCCTCCCACTGTGGGTTGTTGGAAGCAACCTCGTGCTTGTTTAAGGGCAGCACTGTAGATGCTCAGATGGCAGCTTAAGGTGATGTCCCAAGATGGTGCCTCAGGGTGACGTGTCAAACCCAGGGAACCAGGCCAGGGAAACATCCAAATGCACCTCCCAACCCAGGCTTTCAGGTCTGAGATGCTGAAGGGAGAAAGCTGCAGCTTGAATTACACAGCAACACCTCCAAGTAAGGCAAGAATTCACCGCAGTAAAATGCTGCAGTCACTGGGAAATCATTCCTATGTCCCCCTCTGCTCATCCTGAGCTATAAGGATGCAGTGTCTTGCAGGGAACCATAATTCAGTGACAAGAAAAAGCATCTGGGCAGTACAATGGTTTCTTATCTCTTGACTCAATTTAACATTAAATTACTATTTTCACTTCAAAGGCCAAATTCCAATTCAGCTCAAAACTCCCCCTGACTTCAGTGGGATTTGGCCATCGGACAAAATGGAAACTAAAGAGACATTGAGAGTCACAAAGAAATTGCAAAAGTACTAAAAACCAAGGGGAGACAGTCAGGGCTGCCAAGCTGGAAATAGGATGGTATTGCTTCTGCTATTGTTTCTCCACCCATTTTTTTATTTAATTAACTAAATGAGACACCTTTCAACAGAATTTAGATCTGACAAATGTCTGTTCTGTCGGAGAAGCCTACGCAAACAAATGTAAGGCTTCAGCTGTCTCGGCGATTACCAGCCTACGTGCTCAGAAATACATGATTCCTCTACATTTTTACTACATCCTTTGCTCCCAAGGAAAGGAGCAGGAAGGCACAAGTCTGGGGAAAATAACTCTAGACACGTGGACAGCTGTGGGCTAAAACACAGTTGCTCTGTCCTGTCAGCCTTGCCCACATCCCCAAGAGTGAGATGAGTCCTTTGGGAGCCCCCACCATTTGTCTGGCATGTGGGGAGCTGGGGGATCATGTGGGGCTGCATTCTCCTGGTGGCTGCACAGAGATCTGGGTGAGCAATTCCTACAAACACTGAGAGGTGAGCAGGCACATAAGAGCACTGGTCCTGTGAGGGGCAGCTGAGGGAGCTCAGGTGGCTCAGGAGGGACCTTCTGGCTCTGACAGGAGGATGCAGCCAGGTGGGCATTGGGCTCTTTTCTTAGGGAACAAGGGATGGGACAAGAGGAAATGGCCTCAAGCTGTGCCAGGTGAGGTTTAGATTGGATACTGGGAAAATTCCTCAATCGAAAAGGATGTCACACCCTGGCACAGCTGCCCAGGGCAGGGATGGAGTCACCATCCCTAGAGAGTTTAAAAGCTGTGTGGATGTGGCACCTGGGGACATGGGTATGTGGTGGGCAGGGCAGTGCTGGGGCAATGGCTGGACTCAATGGTCAAATAGGTCTTCTCCCACCTAAACAATTCTGAGATTCTATACATTTCCAGTGGCACTTAAGACACTTACCCCCATGACACAGAGGACCTTGTATGGCCAAACAGACTGAAGTCCCATCCTGGGACTGAGGGACCAGGTCCAAATGCTGGTTCCTGCCTTTGGAGAACCTGCCTGGATACTTGCCCGCAATCTCAGCCAATTTCCCCA